CCTCTGCTTATCTTTATCCATGATTGATAAACTGGTCTACTTAAGGAATAAAGACAAGGACATTTCAGGCACTTTTTTTTTTTTCAGAATTAGAACCTTATGCTTGAGTTGAGAGGTGGTGCCTCTAGGAGAGAGGCATGAATTGTCGAGCTGGAATATTCCTAAAGGTGAATTCTACACTTGGGTTTCACATTACTGACTTAGTTTCTGTGCTTTTAAAATGGAGATGGCACTTACTGTCTAATAATGCTTATAGGATTAGTTACATAATATCAAAGATTAAAAAAATTACTAAAAGGCATCGATATTACTATTACTAGATTAAGGAATAATTCATGGCACTTAATTTGCTTTTCTGTTAAAATTTAAACAGAAGTATTCTTGTTCTGAGAAGCTAGCTAAGAAAAATAATTCCTTCACTGAAAAAAGTTAAGCTACAATAGCATGTGTGGAACCTCCCTCACGTTCAGAGGAACATGCTTTGCATGTTGTTAAGTCAGCTCAGAAGTGCAAACTTGTGTGGCTTGCAAAAAGGTAGTCTATGTGTTTATTGCACTTGCAAGTTAAAAATTGCCATTTTATGATAATTCTTATCATCTCATCAAGGTTGGTCATGCTCTTCTGAGTATCTTCAATTAACAAGACTGGCTTTTCAGATTCTGAGACTGGAAATTAATTACACTCAATTTTTGAGGATGTCTTGTTTGTTATTGGCAGTCGGGTGTGAGAGAATGTGTGATTATGCAAAATGAAAGGAAATCCGAGTATTAATTGTTAGATTGAAGAAAGAATATGAATTTTTAAAGGAAAATGTTTTCTAAATATTTAGAAAATGTTTTCTCAAGTGCAGAAAATGTTTTCTAAAATGTTACAGCTCTGGTCAGTAGCTGAAACTCCATTAAATTCAATGGCTTCAGGACATGATATCTCCATGGTAAAATATGACAAACTGGAACAGACTAGCAGCATAGAATTTACATGTTTGCTGACCCTATATTTGATCCTAGAACTAAACCAGAATTTATAATTTTACTGTTGGAAATAGACTGTGTGTGGAGGAAAAAAAATTAAAAGAAAATAATTTTTTTGTGAAATAATAATATTAGGTATGTTGCTGTGGTGCCTTGTGGTCTTTATGAATCTTCCATGATCACAAATATTTTAGTATCACAATGAGCTGAATTCCCTTACTGAGCTGCAGCTATCCTGTCTTTTTTACTCCAGACCACTTCATACTAAACTTTGCCCTGCTTATATCACTTCAAATATTGCTACTTCAGTTGCAGTTAAATGTTATTTTACCTGCTTTATTGATAAACTGCCATGAAACATACATGCTACATAAACATATCATTTCAATTATTAGCAACAGACCTAGCAGTGGTAGGATAAATTGTTTAGTAGTCTGATCCACCATAAAGCTAATGCTGTAAAACTCCTGCAGACTGGATTTGTTGGGTGAGTGAGTCGAGTGAGATTGCCCTGGTGTAATATGGCCATTACATCCCACGTGAGGAGCAGACATGAAGTTATGGACGTGTGGAAATGGTGTGAGAGACCTTCCCATTCAGGGGCAGCCAAAAGCTGCCCTTGTGCTGCCTTAGCCATAACTTTGAAGTGATTGATAAACCCTGTGGCTGCATTAAGCCCTTATCCAGGATGTGTAACAGCATGTCATAAAACATCAGATGTTTTCAAACTCTAAAGGTTTGTAGACCTGTAATGGGAGAAGTATAGACAGTCCCAAAGTTTTCTGACTGGGTTCAGTGTTCTCACTGACCTCGAGTCCTGCATTGTATTTTCTTCAAAACAAGTACTCCTAATACCTATGTATCACTTCCTGTCATAATGGTCTATTACAATATGAATGTGCATGAAAGAGACATACAAGAACTTTCTGTGTGATAACCTAGAAAACCTCTTTGCAAATTAATCCTGCAACAGGAGTCACAACATAAAAGATCAACTGTTCTGATTTTCAAAGGACATTTTGCTCTGAAGTAAATTCCACACCAGGTTGGATGTCCACATGCTTGGGATGTTTAGAAAACTAATATCTGAAGAAATATGCACTTGTGTTACATAAATGCAAGTTCAAAGCCATGTGAAAACACATGTATACTTTAACATAGACCAGAAAGCACCAGGCTGACCTTACTGATCCTGGAGATTAACCCCATTGCTCTTCAGACATGGAACAGGAATGTTCATCATAAGTCATGGTGCTTTCCACTCTGTGGCTTTGTTTGTGACACAGATACAGTGATGTTAGCTGCCCCTTTCTGAAGGAGAGAAGATAAAGATTCTCTGCATAAAGATACCTTCTGGGGATCTGCATCTCGGTTAGATGATGAAAGATTCAACTTCATTCCATCAGCAAAATCCTTGGTGAAATTTCACTTGCAAAGGATGGGGGGGAAATGCTATGGCAGGATGAAGAGACATGGTCAGGAAAAGTGTTGTAGAAAAGACAATCTGTCAGAAAGGAGGATAGTGAACTGAACAATCATGCTTCATGAGATTGCCAGAGAAGAAGAAAAAACCACCCACTCTCTTGGACTGTTGATGAGACACTTTCAAAGCAACACTCCAATAATCTTGAAAATTGCATGAGAAAGCAGTAAAGAAAGGAACGCTCACCTGCTGAGGGAGTTCTCCCTCTTCAACTGCTTAAATTAAATAATAGAATTTTCTATCTCATTCAGGCTAGTGCAGCATGTAGGATCATAGATATATTTCTTTCACCCCAGAGGGCCTAGGAAGCCTTTTCAAGGAAAAACATTTTGCCTGGGAAGTTGCACAGGAGAGTGTGCAAGAAAGCCACATCTCAGCTTTTCTCCATTTGGTCTTGCTCATCTATATGCGAAGGAACAACTTCCCAGCTCATGATTTCAGACCAGTTTCAAGGTGGTTGTTAGGAGGAGAAAGTTGCCAATTAAAGTGGCTTCTTGCCTCAGTGACCAGAAACTGTGGAGAAGAAGCAGACCCCAAACAGGTGGCCACTAGTTTATTTCAGAAATTATTATGCAAATTCAGAGACTTAAAATTTAATTTTGTTATCTTCTGAAAGAAAAAAGGTCACCATTTCTGACATTGAAAATACAGGTATTTTGCACAGCTGCCATCTACTCTAGTCCTCAGAAAGACTTGTTGGTTGGTGGGGGGTTTTTTTGTTTGTTTTTCGGGGGTGGTGTGGGCAGGAGATCACCTGTAGCCTAAAGCTCTGTCACTTTTTTGGTTGTATTCTGGAAGGGAAGGGAAAATCACTGCTGATATATTTGTGTGTCACAAATGTTGATGGAAAACGGTCTCCACAGAAAATCATGTGGATCCTTTGATAAGCAGGACCTAGCCATGATTTAATGTAATTTAGTGTCAGATCATGCTCTTGGCAGTAATCACCAAATATATTAAAAAGGAAAGTGATAGATTCTGCACCTCTTCGGTATTTGTGGGTCAGGTATTAATCCTTTCTTGGAAGAAAATCTTCAGCAGAGCACTGTTCTTTTAATAACTGGCATAGTCGTCGGGTTTTAGATAGTGTGAATTTATATTTCTGATCTTGCATTGTAAAGCTCAGGCAAAGATTATAATTTTGATGGATGTGTGCTCATCTGTAGATGTGAACCATACAAAATACGGGTCAATTGCTGTTCAGATCCCTTTTTTGTTGTCTATTATGCAGGCTTTGGACATGCTTACTTTTGCTATTAAATATATGGGTTCTGTCAAGTTTAATTCCCTCTTGTGGTCAAACTTTAAATGATTCATTTCGCATCATTAAAAATGCTTGTTCAGAAAGGAAAAGGGGGGAATTAAACATGTTTAGTTCTTTTTTGGAATGTAGATACCATGAACAACTGGGGATTTGCAGGAGTAAATGTTAATATCACAGCCTACATCAAAGTTGTTTAAATATTTCTTATGTTATTACATAATTTATTTTTTTTTTAATAATGCATATCATTTGTGTACATCCTACAAAGACTTCACATCCATTTCTTAGGATAAGAACAATTTGCTGATTGAACAGGGATCTTAAGATACAAAACTGTGAATTCTTGACACATTGTCTTCAATGACATGAAATTTGAGGAGAACAGAAACAAAGGGTGAGGAACATCCTGCCCCTTCATCAGGAAACGTTTGTGTAGTTTCTGAATGAATATTCTGTTTTTATTTCTTTAGCGATTTCCTGGAAAATCCAGATATTTTTAGCATGCCCAGTCTAAAGTCCTTCCTGAACAGGAACACATGCATTTCAGTCATTCTCCAAGGTCTTGAAAATACTGGGAAAAAAAAAAAAACAAATAATTTTTTAGAAACTTGACAAGATTTTAGAGACTGATTTCAGGTGTTGATCAGTCTGTCTGAACTTACACGGGATCAGATATCATTCAGGTCTGCACGCAGGTGATGGTAGCTGTATTTATGGATAATTTCAATGCCTAAGAATTAAGTTACCCTAGGAAACTTTTAAAATGTTATTAAATGATGGTCCATAAGACAGTGAGAAATTTCAGTTTTGCCTTACATTGACAAAATTGCTTGTATGAACATAGAGTGGATGGAAACGTGTCTGTTCTGAATATGGTGAGGGAGAATTTGCTGTAATTCCTACCTGCAAAGTGACTAATATCTTTGTAGCTCTATAATAATGTACAGTAGCAGTTTATTTTCTGATGAAAAATTAATGTGATATGATTTTACCACTGAAGCTTGTGGAAGGCATTTGCAAGTGTTTTGAAGACAGTACTTTTGTTTGGAAAAGGACTTTGAGATGAATTTATTTAAAATTTTGAAATGTTTCTATATATGTTTCATTCCATTTAGCTCTGCAAAATGACTGGTAAAAGCAACTTCTTAAGTGGAAATTTGTTGGAAAACCATTCCAATAATTTTAACAGCTTTGAGTACAGGGCGAGTTACACATTTTGTGTGACTCTGGTTTCATATACATTACACCTTCATTAAGATTAAGTGATTTTACTTCTTTTTAGAGCTGAAACATGAGATTTATGTTTGGAGACTGACTGCACAGCGCATTAACCCTGCCAGCAGAGAGGAGACTGCCGTGAAATGCCTCTTGATGCAGAAGGTGCTGACACTGGAGATGCTCTTAAGGAAGAAGCTCATGACATTTCACAGGTGAGCAGGGAGCAGTGTGTCTCATATCCCTGGCTCCAGCTCTCACCGGGGACATGTTGCAGGCACAGGCAGACTAGCAGGGAGCTCCTGCTCATCTCAGTCTACAGCCAGGAATGACAGTGTGGCTTCCTTAATGGGGTAATATTTCTGTGTGGTCAACGAGCCAAGGGCTCACCTCTAGTCATTTTAGGCAGCTGAAAGTAATAGCTTTCAGGGATCTTCTCTGGGACAAGAGCTATATTCTTATCTGTCTCATCAGATGCCTGTTGGGGCAGATATGAAGAGCTACTCTCAGCTTCAGTAAAATAAAAATTATTTTAAGAAAAAACTGATATGCAAGAACAGTAAAATATATTTCAATGTGACCTAAATATAAAGACCTAGAAATTTCAGGTAGTTTTTAGTTTAAAAAGGTCACAAATATATCATTAGACTTTCCCTTGCAATAGTGGCTTTAGCACAGTAAAATGCTACAATTTCTATTTTACTGAAATATTCAAGTGTTCTTCAGTGAACTGTTGAGTTTGAAAAATATGTCACCAAAGAACTGCTGCATTTAAAAATGATTTCATAATCAAATCTTCAGTATGAACCAGAGTGCAGGCATAATTAATCATTTATGCACATGAAAGAAAAAGTTTTTACAAACTAGGACTAACAAAAATACTAACCCTGTTTTGTTTACATTCCAACAAAACCAGCTGTTGTGCTATGGAATTTGATGACTGAGAGTAGCAGAGATAAATATTCTGTTGATATTAATCAACTAAAGTGAAACTGAAACAGTTATTTTTCATTAATAAAGATGTCAAATAGGTGCTATGAGCAAGGACATGTAAATATGATTTCTTAAAATATTGCAATAATATGACTTTTTTTACATAACTCTTTGCTCATATTGTACACCTTGAGTGTAATGACAATATTACTACTTAAAGATAAAAAAAGGCTGTTAAAATCACCTTATTTTTAAATAATTATAAAAAATTATTAGACTTTATGACACTCTGAAGAAGACACTTCCAAAGTATAAATAAAAATTGTATATTTAATCTTGAAAATCAGGATTCCTCCAGCACAGTACATTTACAGCAATGTAAATATTCATTAGCGTTAGCAACAGCACTCCTGAACTGTAAACCCCAAGGCTTTCTGCTGGAAGGCTGACTATGCTGATAATTCGATGAAGTTATTAGGATCTCAAAAACTTCATTATAAAATGCAAATGTAAAATATATGTGTTCTGACTTGCTGATGTTAGCGCACAACCCCTGTTTTATCGCAGCAGGGCACACATCAGCTCCTAAAACTATTAAGGGACTACAGATTGCATGTAGGCAGATGCTATACTGAGGTCCATGCTCTGGAGGCTAGCTCCCTCCAAGCCTTCATGAACTGAAGGTTTTGTGTATTAGCGGAGCATGTTACACAAGTTTGTCCTAAGTGAACACTCATGGGAATGTTGCTGCTGGCTGTAAGAAGGCCACGAGTCCTTTGTGGTGTGAAAGCATGTTACACAAGTTTGTCCTAAGTGAACACTCATGGGAATGTTGCTGCTGGCTGTAAGAAGTCCTTTGTGATGTGAATTACTCCATACAGGGGAAAGGGTGATCTATTTGTGATGAGAGGGATTTGTTCTAAGACTCTTGGCAGAGCTCTAATTTCACTCTGGAAAAAAGCAGGTGTAATTTTCTTTCAGGCAAATTTCACAAGAAGATAAAAACTGGGAAACAAATATTCAGGAACTCCAGAAAAAAGTAAGTAGATGGCATTTTTTCCTAGTATCCATGTAAGCAGAACCTGTGCCTTTATACAGAGAGAGTGCTTTGAATCTACTGCAAATTTAATAACTGTCATGATAGCAGAAACACTGGCAAGCGGGCTGGCTGGCTTCTTGGTGGAATGGGATTACTGAACTACGTTTTGAGTTTTTCTTAGGTTTTATACTTTTGTTCCTTAGAAAAATGTCATTTAAAGTTTCAATAAATGATTCAGCAGTGTTTTCTTAAATTTTTAATCCATGGCCGGAAAGACTCAGAGGGTGTCAATAGATTGTTTATGACTGATGCATGACGATAGAGTACATTTCTACTGATGTACCAAATACCAACTCTAATTTACTATACTGTGATGTAACTGCTTTATTATTCAAGTAGGGATAAACCACTTTGGATTTATCCTGTTCTCTTTGCTGTGCACACATTAACACCTCCTAAGTCTTTCTGCTGAAGCAGAGTCTGATGAGATGTAGACTTTCTAGTGGGATTCATTTCCCATAAATTTAACTATCTAAATGTCACATCCTCTGCGTCTCACTGGCATTACAAATAAATCCAGGCCTGTGTTTAGGAGCTCAAGTCCTTGACTGGGACATCACTGTCACACCATCACTGTCATGTGTCACACTGAAACAGAAGAAAACCATCAGGATTTCATATTAGGTTTTACACCTTTTTCAAGGCATTACATAAAAGAAAAACTTTTTAAGGAACAGAGACTTGTACTTTAGTAGAAATCTAAACAATGTGAAACGAGAGAGGGACTCAGGCTGGGAGAAGGTGATTCCCTGGGTTGGTGGTGTCAAAGGGATGCAGGATTTAGGCACAGAGGTGTAGAAGCTGCACAGAGATTGTGGGCTTGGCAGGTCCATGAGAGTTGTACAGGAGGCATGAAAGAGCTGACCTCTAGGCTGATTATAGGTTTTAAAAGCATACATGAAAAAAAGAGGGTCCAGAGTGCCCTCTGGGGGAAGAATTGCATTTCAACCCCACTTCTACTGAAATGAAGTTGTGATGGGGGTAGCTGAACACAGCTGAATATATGCAGCAGGTGCTAGGTACTTGTATCTCTTAGATCACATTGGGCCACACAGTCATGTTTTTTATAGGTGTGTATGAAATACCTCAATTTAAATGTTTTTTATGCTGAAGAAAAATATACAATACAGGAAGAGAAGTTTGCACTTCACACATGCATTTGTGAACTAGGCATAATAGATAGCTCCTTCTTTAATACAGTTATTAATTTTTTTCTCCCTGTCTACAGCACAAAATAACAGATAAAATTCTTCTCATCAAATGCCTGACTGTGCTGGGATGTGTTATTCTCATGTTTTTTCTCAACTCATTTGTTCCAAGCATCTACCTAGATCTTGGTAAGTTTCACAGTTTTGTTCTACCTAAGTAAAACAAACAACCTCCCTGAAGAAAACCAGCAATATTTTTCTGAGTCTGGTTCTTTGCAGAAAGCCGCTTTCCATATATCTTTGGCCTTGCAGTTCCACTAGACTAATCTGAACAGCAGTTTCTCAGAACAGGTTTCCAAAATGCAGTCACGCCCCAGTCACCCCAGGGGGAATAACAGAGAGTGACCATGACTTAATTTTTCTGACTATCCAATGCTAATGAGCTGGCTAAAAATTACAGAATGAGCATGATTGACCTAGAATCATTGCACTGGAGGATTGAGTGAATGATCAAGATGTGTTATAGAGATTAGAAAAAAATTGCGCCATGGAAGAACTAAAAAAGTAGTCTGGCATTATTTCTTAAGTGTAGATAACTTTGTATAACTTCCAGTCTCCATTGCTTTATTACCAGAATAAATAATTTCCCAAAATAAAATCAGGAAGACACTATGCGTGTGAAATGAAAGTAGCTGTATGCAAACTTTCTATGGTAAGAACTATACTTGCAGGTTTTTATACAGCTAGTTTTATACCTGTATGAGGAGGCTTTGCATATCCTGAAAACAGAACCAAATTAATGCTCGCATTCAACCAGAGGACAGTCATAAAACCTACCTGTGCATTTCCCTATAAAAAATTAAAAATATAATTTTGGCTGCTGAGCACCTGAAAGTTATGGAATTTCAGATTTACGGTTTTTCAGGCAATCTGAATTCCCCCACTGTGTACAATCATCCCAGTATTTCCAACATGCAACAGGGTTGAAGAAGACTAACTCATAATCAATAAATCATTGATTGTATCATCACATACAAAGATTGAAATCCGTTTTTGTTGTGTACAATATAGAGCGAGTTATGGCTGTACAGTGGTGATCATGCTGTAAACAAGACCTTCCGTATCTGCTGCTGACACTTTTGTTGTATTGACTGCATTAGAAAGCTACCAGTAGCAGAAGGCTGTTCTCTCTGCTGGGACCTAGGGGAACACCAGTGTGTTGTATTGCCGGCACCAGCGGGAGGATATGGGCTACTGCGTCTGGGGCAGCGCGTTTCAATAGATACAGCTTTACTGCTAAATGCATTTATTCCAGGGTTTGACTGCCAGCCCTCAGGCCTTAGAGGTGCAGGATGCCTTGTGTCCACACTGCTCAGACCTTGTCCCCTCAGAGCAGACTGGCCGTATCTCCACAGCACAGCAATTGGCACGGTGTTCCCTCTTGACATTGTATGTACGGCTTAATTAATTTTTAGGTTCGCAGCAAGGGTAGCTTTGTAGCCTAGCAGAGCTGTGTGTTAAGATTATGATGCTGAGGGCATATGTTGCATTGTATGCTACATGTGATGAAGTTTGAGTGCATGGAGCCATTGCAGATAATGTTGGAGTAACTGAACAGAGCATAGAGACCCAAACCTGACCCCCAGGCTCAACTGTGCTGCAGTTAGGGCGTGATCTCTAGAACTGCACCGTGGTTTATTTTTATCCTACGTAAAGTAAACTGGGTCAATGCAAAAGAATCTGGGAGCAAAGCAACACTTACACAAAGGGGATCAGGACCTTGCTGTGGACTTGGGCTAAACAGTTATCTGACAGTGTTGATACAACGCAACAAATCCTTTCTGGAGTGCACTTAAAATCCTGGTGCCCTGGAGCAGTATGAGGTTAGGAAAGGGGCCTTGTCAGCCAGGCTTTCTTCCCCATTTCAGCTAGTGTCACAGCTGCTGTGGCAGCTTCCCTGTTCTAGAGTACTTGTCATGGATTTCAGTCCATAAAGATTATTGGCTGTTAAGAAGTTAAAAGGTATACTGATATAACAGCAAAAGTGCTATATTACTAAGGTGTAGGAAGTTGTGGAAATTGAAGATGTTTGGAGGATTTTGAAGTCGTGGTGGCTAAGAACATAAAGAAGGAATTCACATAGGCAATTTCAGAAATCAATTTTCACCCTTACCTTTCTGTCTCAGAGAAGTGGGCACTGAAACAAGAAGGATTTCTTGAATTAAACCCAACATCTGTAAGTGTTTTTGAAAGGCGACAGAGAGTAAAGACCACATAGCACTGGTTGCATATGCTCTTGGTAAGATATTCTTTCAAAACTGCAAAGCAGTTGGAGTCAATACTAGAAGAAACCTAATAACTGATGATTGGTTTTTGTCCTACTTTGTGTCACAGAACTAAATGAAAACAAATGCCATGGTTGGCAGTGCAGGCTTCTGTTATTCACTAGCTGATCTTCAGCTGCAACCTTGAAAGTAAATAGGGGCAGTATGTGTTCTGGATAATTTGTCCCTCTTCTGTATTCATGGCAAACCTGTCAGATTAATGAATAAATGTTATTAAAGCATATGCATAATTTCTATTACAATTAATTAAACCTCCAAACTTCTACTGAGATCTCATTCGTGATTCCTGAATTCTACTATCTTGATGATGGCTGTCACTTTTTTGTCATTACTGAACTAGTGCTGCTGTGTGTCTCTATGGATTTTAGTTCTCCAGTGCATGGAAATGAATTTCCTAAAATACAGTACATCTTGTACTCTGATGGTTTGGGTAAATTTGTTCAGTATGTTTTTCCTCATAAAAATGAAAGTAGATTGCAGTTTAGTGTTTAATTTTCTACCAGAATAATGTTTCATACAGAGGCTGAAGTGTTAGAAATCTAATAACTTTTAATTGCATTTGGTAGAGTGAATTAGAAAGATTATAGAATTCTTTATCACTCCCCAGCCTTGATACAATTTTTCCATTATAAACTTGGAATCATTAATATAATTTGAGGGAACTGACATTTTAGTTTAAATAATAAAATTTACATACTTAGCTGCCTTTTAAAATGCAGAACAATTTCCTATTCAGTTTTCATGTACCTGTTCATCACTTTATTTAGTCTAATTCTATGAAATATCTCTGTTAATGAAAGATTAGTACTGAGACTCTAAATAAACAGATATGGCAAACTTTAAGACTTCTACAGTGCTTTCATTTGGCCCCATAGGATTTTACCTTTTTGATAAAGTATCTGAGGAAAGATTACAAAAGATGAATGTAAAACCCCCTGAGGATTGTACCTGGCTCCTATTTTGACTTTAACCTTTAGGCAGGCATGTCCAGAGCTTTGAACTACAATGAGATCCCCCAAAAAGAGACAAGAGATTTTAAAAATAAAATAAACCAAGATTTTGTTGAAATTTAAACTAGATTTTTTTTTTTTTTTAATAGAGAATGCTTGGAGTGACTGGGTCAGAAAGAATACATAAAATCAATTTATAACCCACTTCTTTTTGCTTCTGTGGGGCAGGCCCTCCCTCTTTGTTTTGGCTTCAGTCAGTTCAATGACTTGCTGAGCTGCTGTGAACTCTGTTCAGTTCCTTCTAGTATCCATGAAGAGGGACCCACCACCTCTGGGTCTCTGCTTTTGTCTGCCCCTTTCAGTAGTCTCTGCACTCAATGTAGACCACCTTGCTCCATGCAGACCCCCTCCCTGCTGCTCCTTTCCACCTCTGGACACCTCTTTCCCAGTGTTACAGGCTGAATAGTTTCTGAGACAGGGGAAGGTCCTCTCCTCCCTTTGGAGGGTTGCCACAGGGTATGCAGTGCTCATCTTCAATAAACAAGATGCAAGCCCAAGAACAAACAAAAGAGATACTGTCTGTTTCAGAGCAGAGATACTGTCTCTATTTTGGCTGCAGACTGCTGGAAGCTTGGAAAGTATGCCAGGAAGAATGCAATTGTATGTTTGCCTTCAGACATTAATGTTTAAGTAAATTACCTTCATCTGTCCTTAAAATAATCTCCAGAGGAGGTCAATAATCAGTGGAGGTGATCAACAGCCGTGACTCATCTCCTCTACTTTAAAGGTCTAATTCTTGAAATGATTCAACTTACCCTATGTCACTTCACTCCTTATATGCCAGAAGGCATCTTCTCAAGCTATACCAAGTTTTAGTCATAGGTACTTAAAAGCAAAAGTCACAACAGCTAGATGGACATTTGCCTTGATAATTGAATATTTGGGGGTTTCACTTCTAACTAAAATCAAATTTGGAATTATTAACCAAAGCAGTGTTCGCAAAAAAACAAACTCATGAACTTCTAAAAAAATTATGGTTTTATTCTTTTAACTAATTCAATCACTATGAACTTTCTGGGTAGTAAAACAAGGCCTCTAAGTCACCACTTTGTGTCACTTCTGCCAAGTAAACATCTAAATTTTCCCCATCATCATTTCTCTAAATCTAAAATCCTCCAATATTTACAGACAAAGGTTATCTTGTTTGATAAGACCTCATTTACATAGTTAAATCTAGCTTCTCTTCCAAAATTCTCCCTTTTCTTCTATATTTACCATGGTTTAACTTCTAACTGTGGGCCTGGTCTGCAAGTTCTGCTGCAGATACTTTTGAGGATCTGAAACACTTTGCAATTTATCTTAACTAGTTGTATCTTGCATCATCGAAACATTCTAAACCTGCAACTGAAATAGTGGAAAAGTGATGAAATAATTGATCTAATTTAATTCAGAGTGATTTTTGTTTGTTTGGTAGGCCATGTTGTACAGAGCTCCTTTTTATTTTATTGCCAGAGCATTAAAGGAAAAATGTGTTCAGTCGCTGTAGGTATAAAAGTCTCCTGTTGCATTGTCACTCCTTTGGATACCAATGCTCATATTTGCTGACTGACTTCCGTAATTTACAGAAACATTATTGAAATTCACATGAGAAATCAAATACCTTAATTGGAAAGGGCTTCAGCATAACATCCCCCCCCCCCCTTCCCCCCAATTACATCTACAGAGAATTTCATGCAAATTATAGTAAAAATCTTGACTTAACCTGGAGAGAGGAGTGACACCTCTAATTAAGGGAAGTCGACTGGGTCTGAAATTTCTCTCTTATAATTTCTCTTGATTTTCATGCACTGTTCATCACTTTTGTTCAAGTGGACATGCCAAATTTTTGGCTTAC